CACTGACGGTTGCATTGCAAATGCACTGGGAGCAGGCTACCTTGACAAGAAGTATTCATTTAAAGACAATACTACTGCTACACATGAGAGATTTGGTCCACTGATTCTGAAAGAAATGGAGTAACAAGAAATACACCAGGAAATTCAGGAATTGGATTGTTATGATGATGTTCCAGAAGATGGTGACATGATTGTCATTGAACAAATGAGTAAATTCTTGATACTGTAAGATTCACAGTTTGTCTGGTTTGTGTTGACAACTACCGTACTACCATACCGTATACAGGTAATAAATTTCCTTTATTTTCATTTAACAATAAATGTGTACCGTATTCTTCTTCATGGAAAAATAAGACATCCCCTGAAAATAAGACCTAGCGCATCTTTGGGAGCAAAAATTAATATAACACACTGTCTTATTTTCAGGGAAACAGCGTATGTTCCAGCTAAACCAACACCTTTACTATTCCTTCAACATGCCCCTCTCTCAGAGCTATAATATTACAGTTACTATTCCTTCTGTTCAAACCATCATCCTTTACTCCACCACACTTCTGCAAGCTGCATGGCCAGCTTCTCACTCCCAACCCACCCCCCCTTCAAGCTGTCACCTTCAAATATCACTATCTCAGGTTGGCTTTCTTAACATGTAAAATAGCCACACTTACCCTGACTGGTATCGTTCTCCTGTTAGATATCAGCCCGCGCACCAAAGGGTGCCAGATTTGATTTCCAGGCACGAACCTGGGTTGCAGGTTCAATTTCCAGGGCGCATGTGGGAGACAACCAATACATGTGTCTCTCACACTTCAACGTCTGTCTCTCTCTCTCCCTACTTCATGCTTTCTAAAAAATCTATGGAAAAAGTATCCTGTCGGTGAAGATTAACAACAAACAAAAAAGAGCCACAATCCTCTGCTCCCTAGCACCCACTTTTCCCATTCTATGTCACCATATTTTACATATATTATTGATTATCCCACACTGCATGCATTTTACCACCCCAGACTGCATGAATGTCTAGTCTATTTTGTCCTCTGAAACATGTTCATCACTAGGCATATAAGCAACCACTATACATCATTTGAATCAAGTAAAATGAAAAACATTCAACTACACTAAAATTAAAAAATGCCAATTAAAATAACAGGCAAGATATAGTATTTTGAACAATTAAATCTTAAAATCCTAACGCCCATTTATCATCAAGAAAAATATTTTTAAATATACATCCATTAGTATAAATTGGTATAAAATTATTGGAGAACAATTTGGCAGTATCAATCAACTTTCAATATGCGTAACTTTTTTTTTTTTTAAATATATTTTATTGATATCTTACAGAGAGGAAGGGAGAGCGAGCCAGAAATGTCGATGAGAGAGAAACATCGACCAGCCACCTCCTGCACATCCCCAGTTGGGGATGTGCACACAGCCAATGTACATGCCCTTGACCGGAATCAAACCCGGGACCCTTCAGTCGGCAGGCCAATGCTCTACCACTGAGCCAAACCGGTTTCGGCAATATGCGTAACTTTTGATCTAGGTCTTTATATCTCAATTTAAGTGGTTCTATTTTTTTAAATATATTTTATTGATTTTTTACAGAGAGGAAGAGAGAGGGATAGAGAATTAGAAACATCGATGAGAGAGAATCATCGATCAGCTGCCTCTTGCACACCCGTACTGGGGATTGCCCAACCAAGGTACATGCCCTTGACCAGAATTCAACCCAGGACCTTTTAGTCCTCAGGCTGACGCTGTATCCACTGAGCCAAACCGGTTTCGGCTTAAGTGGTTCTTTTTTCCCTTTTTTTTATTTATTTTTTTTATTTTAGATTGTTTTTAAAAAGGAGAGGAAAAGAAATAGAAACACCAATGATGAGAGACAATCATTGATTGCCATACTGGCTAGGCTTTAAGTAGTCCTTTAAATATTAGGTCTAGTAATAATTAATGTCGTTTTAAAACATTCGTTTAAAATCTTGCTTGGCGTTGACTTGTATTGACATAACCTTCAAACACGTGGTATCTACAGAACGTGTGAAGTGCAATTAACAAGTTTTGATTGAAAAAGTTTGTGTTTGGTTTGGTTTTTGTTGCAAAACTAGGGCTAAGAAGATGGCGGAAGAAGAGCATATTCGGCACTGCATGCTTCACGAGTTCCAATTAGGAAGAAAAGCAAGTGAGGCTGCAAAAAACATCTGTAGTGCTCTGGGTCAAGATGCAGTTAGCGCCAGAAAATGCCAGCGTTGGTTTGAGAAATTTCGCGAGGGAAATTTTTCGTTAGATGACAAGAGTGGTCGAGGCCGTGTGTCCAATTTTGATCAAGAAGCTCTTCAAGCTCTTTTGGTGCAAAATCCTCAAATTACCCAACAAGAGCTTGCGACAACTTTAAATTGTTCACAAAAAACAATTTCCAATCAATTGCATGCACTTGGCAAAGTCCAAAAGTTTGGAAAATGGGTTCCTCATGAGTTGACCGACAACAACCGTAATCAAAGAGTCACAATTTGCAGTTCGCTCCTCTCTCGTCAAAACCGTTTGCCGTTTTTAGAGCAAATTGTTACCGGAGATGAAAAATGGGTGCTGTATATTAATTTGAAAAGGCGGCCTCAATGGCTGGACAAAAATGAGGCTCCGCAGCCCACGCCAAAACCTGACTTGCATGCGAAAAAAGTGATGTTGTGTGTTTGGTGGAATTTTAAAGGAATTCTTCATTATGAACTTTTACCATCTAACCAAACCATTACAAGTGCAGTGTATAGTGCCCAATTGGAAAGGTTAGCCCAAGCTTTAAGAGAAAAAGAACCCGCGCTGATTAATCGGAAGGGCGTAATTCTTTACCAGATAACGCACGACCGCATACTGCAAGAATCACTGCTGAAAAACTGCGCCAGTTGGAATGGGTAGTTCTCCCTCAACTTGCATATTCTCCTGATATTGCCCCTTCCGATTGCCATTTGTTTCATTCTTTGCAAAACTTTCTTCTTGGAAAAAAATTTAATAATGAAGAATGCCTCAAAAATGCATTGACCGAATTTTTTGCATCAAAATCAAAAGAATTTTACAACAGAGGGATTAAAATGCTTCCTGAGCGTTGGGCACAAGTAGTAGAAAACAACGGCAATTATATTGTTGATTAAATTTTGTTGTATTGTTTAAATAAATTCGATTTAAAAAAAGAATTGGAAAACGACATTAATTATTACTAGACCTAATATTATTTCTGCTCAACTGTTGTTGCTCAATAGTTGAGCATCAACACATAAACCAGGAGGTCATGGTTTGATTTACTGTCAGCACACATGCATCATTACAAGCTCAATGCCATATATGGGGCATGCAGCAGGAGCTGATCTATGATGTTTCTATGTCTCTATCCCTCTCACTTCCTCTTTGTCTAAAAAAAATAAAATTTTATATATATATATATATTACAATAAAAATACTAATTTCTTTTAAAAAGTAAATTAAATAGAAACTCTCACTACTTAACAAATCTTTTATAATCTTTAGTTTATTATATGTTTTATAAGTTTCTGGGTTGTTGTTTTTTTAACCAATTTTAGAGAGAGGAAGAGAGAGAGAGAGAGAAATATCAATGTGAAAAACATCAATCAGTTGCCTCTCATAGGCATCTAATAGGGGATGGTACCCCAATCTGGGTATGTGTACTGATTGGGAATGGAACTGGCAAACTTTTCGGTGCACAGGACGAAGCATAACCAACTTAGCCACACTGGCCAGGGGGTTTTAATGTGTGTGTTTTTTTTCTTATTTTCTATTCTTTGGTTGATTACTTATCATATATCTCCACCACCTGAAATGTAAGCAGCATAAGAGCAGTAACATTGCAAAGTTGCAAGGGTAACAACCTAGAACAGTGCCTTGCACCAAGATATTCCAATATTTGTTCAATTCAGTTACAGTTGTATTCATTATAATAAATAAGTGACTGGTTAAAATGTATTTATACAACAACTTACATAAAAAGTCGCATCAGCCCAGCTGATATGGCTCAGTGGTTGAGTATTGACCAATGAACCAGGAGATCACCATTTGGTTTGACCTATGAACCAGAGAGATCACTGTTCGGTTCCCAGGGAGGATACATGCCCAGTTTATGGGCTTGATCCCCAGTGTGGGAAGTGCAAGAAGCAGCCAATCAATGATTCTCTCTCATCATTGATGTTTCTATCTTTCTCTCCCTTTCCCTTCTTCTCCAAAAATCAATAAAAATATATTTAAAATTTTTTAAAAGTTGCATCATATTGAGTGAAAAGCAACTAATAAAATAATATACGATATTTTAACAATAGGCTAATTTTCTTTTAAACCCTAACAAGAGATAAAATGTACCAATTTATCTGGGACCGCCCCCAACTCTACTTCCCAAAAAAGTCTCCTTTTAACTAATTACATACATGAAGTATACTAATTAAAGAAATATTTTCATAAATTTAGAGTTCATTGTTTCTCTAACATAAATATTGCCAATATTCTCCTACCTATCCACCACAGGCCATTATAAAAGTAGTGATTTTTCTAAGTATTAACTTAATGTTTTTCCCATATACAAAGAAAACTAGCATTCCATGTAGACGAGGCCACTCTAATAACCAGATTATATGACTAAACAGAATACCTTATAATCCAAAAATATTTTAAAACAAATGTGATATAATAAATAGCCTAGATGCCGAAACGGTTTGGCTCAGTGGTAGAGCGTCGGTCTGCGGACTGAGGGGTCCCAGGTTCGATTCCGGTCAAGGGCATGTACATTGGTTGCGGGCACATCCCCAATAGGGGCTGTGCAAGAGGCAGCTGGCCGATGTTTCTCTCTCATCGACGTTTCTAGCTCTCTCTCTCTCTCCCTTCCTCCTCTCTGCAAAATGTCAATTAAAAAAAAAAAAAAATATATATATATATATATATATATATATATATATATAGCCTAGATGGCACATATGTAAAATATCTTTATCACACAATCTTACTTATGATATTGTTGAGTTTTCTGCATTAGCTTCTCTGGCAAGCCATCTTCATCATCAAACTGCTCCATTGGTTCCACAATGACGGGACGTGGGGTCCTGGACAGGTAGGGAACATTAATAAGGATTAATATAGTATCTAAAATTAACATTCTGGGGCAATGGTATATGTACAAAGATAATAATTTAATTTAAAAAAATAAATAAAATAAAATTCTTTATCATTCCTGAAAGTGCCTGCTGGGTACTACATACAGGTGTTCAATTATTGTTTATCAAATTGCAGGCACTCAGTGAGTAGCTGTTGACCTTAGTTATAATCTTCTAATCTACACGGATAGAATATTGAAGTATTTTTCTCAGTTTCAATGGTATTTCGAATTTATTTTTGTTGCTGCTACTGCTGTTAAACTTGATAGTACTTTGATTCAAATATCATATTGATCCAAGTACTACTATTTTGTGATCAACAGGAACAAATTAACAAAAAAGCAAAGAAATTTCAATGTATTTAATGCGGGGGGGGGGGGGATAAATAAATAAATAAATAAAATTAACATTCTCTTAGCAATGTTTTACAATTCTAAGATATATACTTGGAAACTGTCTCTCAAGATAAATTTCTCAGCACTTATCATATATAATCAATCATAAAATCAATTACTATTTGCTGAGCCAAACACATGTGAACAACGAAGTCAGACAAAAACGAATGCTTGTTCCTATAAAGAGTATATTTAAGATGACAGAGAAGAAAACCCACCATGAACCTTTATTAGCATGTAACCTTTATAATGTATGAAGGATAAGAAAAGAAATAAGTACCTAATTCATATTTTATGTATATGTTATCATGTTCCCTTTCCCACGACCTCAAACTCCCATCTCTGCCTACCTCTCATAGCCTCTGTGTTTAACCAATCTTCTTTAGAAAAGTCTTTCTAAAACATAAAATGAGACCTAAAAGGTATCAGCCAGGCATAGGAGAAGGAAAGGGAGTTAGAAGATACAACATACTCGAGGAGCAAGGTAACAAGAGGATATCAAAAACAGTAGAAAATAATGTAAACTCTAACTGAAAATTTTTTTTGCCTTCGCTGGTGAGGCTAAAATGGTTTGAGCATTGTCTCATACAATGGAGGGTCACAGGTTCAATTCCCAGTCAGGGCACATACCTAAATTGTGGGATCAATCCTTGGTCAGGTATACATACAGAAGAAAATTAAGTATGTTTCTCTCTCTCCCTCTCCCTTTCTCTATCTCTAAAATCAATGGAAGCATATCCTCAAGTGAGGATTAAAATTTTTTTAATAAAATAAAAAGACTCCTAACAAGTTTGGCTCAGTAGATAGAACATGAGCCTGCAGACCAAAGAATCCCAGATTCGATTCCCATCAAGGGCATGTACCTCGGTTGCAGGCTTCTCCCCAGCCCAGGCCCTGGTTTTTATACCCAGTAGCAAAATGCCTTCCAAAAACAAAATGAGCAATTTGCATTAGCACCAGGAGTTATAAAAACGCCCATGTGCATCATTTTCATTCACTGTGTATTTTTTAATATTTACCAACATAAAAAATTAAGTTTGTCTTTCTTTAATTACTAATTAAGTGATTTAAATATCCAGCCACAGCCTGCCTAGCCAGCGAGATTCTATGGTTAGAGCGTCAGCAACAAAGGGTATAGGTTTGATCCCCATTCCCAGTAGAGGCTCCTGAGGCAACCAATAGATGTGTCATCTCATATTGTTTCTCTTTATCTCTCTCTCCCCCTTCCTCTCTCGCTGCCCTCCTCCCATTCTCTCTAAAATAGCAATGAAAAAAATATCCTTGAATGAGGATTAACAACAAATACCTACCCACAACTGACTCTCCTTTAAAAGAAAGCCCTAGAAGTTAAAGGAGAATTGGTATATTAGGAAGAAGTAATAAATTCTTTCTCAAAAAGAATAAAAATGAAAAGGACAAATATATAGCAAATAGATTAATAGTACACATAACAATGATTTGAGCTACATCAATATGGGCTTGATCCCTGATAGGGGGCATGCAAAGACAGCCAATAGATGTTTCTCTCTCTCCTGCCTCTCCCTCTAAAACTCACTTTTTTTTTTTTTCTTTTCAGCACTGTTGCAGAGTGCCTTCCATTCACCAGCTACCAAGCAAGACGGGAATGGAATGGGTATCTTTGTCAGCCCTGTTTTCCCTCCCGTCTCCGAAGCTGTAAAAATCAATTTTTTTAAATCTTTTTTTAAATTGTCCTTGGATTTACCATAAATAAATAAACCCCAAAGGTAAAAAATTAAGTAGAGATGTAAAGGAGAAAGTCCAAAAAGGTCTTGAAATCTTTCTATTAAAAAAAAAAAGGTATAGCTGAAACTGGTTTGGCTCAGTGGTAGAGCGTCGGTCTGCGGACTGGAAGGTCCCGGCTTCGATTCCGGTCAAGGGCATGTACATTGGTTGCGGGCACATCCCCGGTACGGGGTGTGCAAGAGGCAGCTAGTCGATGTTTCTCTCTCATCGACGTTTCTAGCTCTCTATCTCTCTCCCTTCCTCTCTGTAAAAATCAATAAAACATATATGTGTATATATATATATATATATATATATATATATATATATATATATGCACACACACACACACACACACATATATATATATTTTTATTTTATTTTTATTTTTTTTTTAAGGTATAAACTCTTAAAAGTTAAAAGAAAAAAACAAACTGAAGCACATTCTGGAAAAAACTGTCCTGAACTCTTCCAATGTCCTACCCGGCTGATGTGGTTCAGTAGCTGAGCATCAACCTATGAACCAAGAGGTCATCATTCCTGGTCAGGGAACATGCCTGGGTTGCAGACTCAATCCCTAGTGGGGGCATGCAGGAGGCAGCTGATCAGTGATTCTCTCTCATCGTTGATGTTTCTTTCTCTCTCTCTCTCTCTCTCTCTCTCTCTCTCTCTCTCTCTCTCTCTCTCTCTCTCTCTCTCTTTCCCTCTTCCTTTTTCTCTGAAAATAGTTTTAAAAAGAGAAAGGAGTACCTTAAAAGCTTGATATAAACTTACTGTTTGCCCCGCTTTAAGAAATAAAAAATTAGCCTTAGATGGTTTTGCTCAGTGGATAGAGCATTGGCCTATGAACTGAAAGGTCCCAGGTTCAATTCCGGTCAAGTGCACATCCCAGGTTGTGGGCTCAATCCCCAGTAGGGGACTTGCAAAAAGCCAGCTGACCCATGATTCTCTCTCAACATGGATATTTCTATCTCTGTCTCTCTCTTCCTTCTTCTCTGAAATCAATAAAAATTTATTTTTTTTTAAAAAAGAAAAAATTAGAAAAAAGTTTATTTTAAAGTTCCAATGTCCTGGCACTGACATTTGTTCATTTGAAAAACTATTACAGATAAAGAAAGATGACAACTAAATTCAACGTGTGGTCTTTGATTACTAGACTGAAAAAAAATTATAAAGACTATTACTATGCAATGGGGAAATTTCAAAAACAGACTATATTTTAGATAATACTGAATAAATGTTAAATTTTGCTAAGTGTGATAATGATATTGTAGCTTTTTGAGCAAATATTCTCAGGAGACACATGCCAAGTACTATATTCAGGGGTATAGTATAAAATCTGTAGCTGAATGACATGAATTTGCAAGCAAAATTTGGGTGTATATATAGTGGGTGGGGGGGTGGGGAGGAATGTGGCAAATGCTAACAATTAGTAAATGCAAATACCATTAAAGGGTTGTTTTAAAGAGAAAATATCTTCTCTTAACCAAAACTGAAATTAACACTTTTTTTTTTTTGCATTTTTCTTTTTTTTAAATATTTTTTATTGATTTTTTTTACAGAGAGGAAAGGAGAGGGACAGTGCTAAAAACATTGATGAGAGAGGAACATCGACCAGCTGCCTCCTGCACACACCCCATTTGGGATGTGCTCGAAACCAAGGTGCATGCCCTTGACCAGAATTGAACCTGGGACCTTTCAGTCCACAGGCTGTCCCTCTATCCACTGAGCCAAACTGGTTTTGGCTGCATTTTTCTTTATGGTCCTCACCTAAAGGTATATGTTTTTATAGATTTTGAGAGAGAGAGAGAGAGAGAGAGAGAGAGAGAGAGAGAGAGAGAGAGACAGAGACAGACAGCAGGGAAGAAAGATCTACTGACTGCCTCCAACCAGGGGTAGAACCCAAAACCTAGATCTGTACCCCTGACCACGAACCAAACCCACAACCCTTTGGTATACAAGACGACATTCTCTAATCAGGTAAGCCACCAGGCCAGAGTCACATTTTTCTGCTTTTAGGGAAGCAACTCTAACATCATTATTATTTTTTTAACTTTTTTTTAAATTGATTTTGGAGAAGGAGGTAGAGGGTGAGAGAGAGAGAAACATCAATGATGAGAGAGAATCATTACCTGACTGCCTCATGCACAACCCCTATTGGGGATCCACCCACAACACGGGCATATGCCCTTGACCCAAATCAACCCTGAAACCCTCCAATCCTCAGTCCACCCAATCCTCTGAGCCAAACCAACTAGGGCTCCAACATTACTTTTAAGTATCAGCTGATCAATGTTTCTCCCTCATTGATGATGTTTCTAACTCTCTATCCCTCTCCCTTCCTCTCTGTAAAAAATCAATAAAATATATTTTTTAAATGCTCAACAGTATAAAAAAGTTATAAAAACTATGAAAAAAGAACAATCAGATAAAGCACAATATAACACATTGGAAGGAATACACAGCATTAGGGGAAGCTGAGGTTCGAATCACTGAATTAGAATAGAGTTGAAAATATCAATCAATTACGGAACCTATTAGAAAAAAACAATTAAAAAAAAACAAGAGGACAGCTTCAGGAAGCTGTAGGACAATGTGAAACATAACAATATTAGAATAGGTGTGCCAGAAGAGGCAGAAAGAGAGAAAGGAATAGAAAAGATGTTTGAAGAAATAGTTGAAGAAACTTCCCTAATCTGTTAAAGAAAAATCACACAAGTTCAGGAGGCACAGAGAACCCCAATAGACCCACACCCAGACACATCATAATTAAAATGTCAAAAATTAAAAACAAAGAATATTAAAGGAAGC